AATCAAAATCTGTATTGTAAAAACAAATTTTTGAAAATTAAAGAAATTGGAAAATTGAGGAATTGCAAAATTAAAGGTAGAAAATTTGAATAGATGAAAAATAAAAAAATCGAGAAAATGAAAAATTAAAAATAAGAATTTGAAAAATTGAGGAAACGAAAAACTGAAAATGAACGAAAAATTGTGATATCAAAAAATTGGTCGAAGGTAAATGAATTCAGATTTTTCAAAAAATTATAAGACTTGATTTTGCGAATTTTATTTTTGATGGTAACCCTTATCGTATATGAAAAATCCAAAAATTGAAAAATTTTAAATTGTAAATCAAAGATTGAAAAATTGAATAAACGAAAAATGAAAAAAAAGATTTCTCCATTTTTCCGTTTTTTTAATTTTCATTTTTTCAATTTTAGAGTTTTTCGTTTATTCAATTTTTCAAATTTTCAATCTTTGATTTTTCAATTGTTCGATTTTCCAATTTTTATTGGTTTCTCAATTATCCGATTTTCCGATTTCACTTTTACAATACATATTTTTCTGGTTTTCCACTTTTCGGTTTTTAACACTCTCAAATTTTAATAGTTCGATTTTTTAATTTTTCGTTTCTTCAATTTTTTGATTTCTTGATTTCTAATTTTAGGGTTTTCAATTTCGTTTTTTCATTTTTCTGTTTTACAATTTTGCAGTTTTTCCATTTTTTTTTTCAAAAAAATCGAAAAACTGTAATTCGAAAAACTGAAGAAACGAAAAATTGACACATTGAAAACTAAAAATCGAGAAACTTAAAAATCGAAAAAAATAAAAAATCCAAAAATTGAAAAAATTGAAGATTAAAAATGGGCAACTTAAAAATCGAAAAATCAAAATATGATATATTGTAAAATCGAAATATTGAGAATTAAAGAAATCGAGAAATTGCAAAATCAAAGACTGAAAAATCGACTTAAATGAAAAATTATAAAATCGAGAAAATGAAAATCAAAAAATAAGAAAAATGAGAAATAAAAATTAAGAATTTGAAAAAATAAGGAAACGAAAAATTAAAAATTATAAATCAATTTATTGAAAAATTAAAGAAAATGAAAAAAACGAAAAAATGTGGCATAAAAAATTTGGTCGAAGATTTGATTTTGCGAATTTTATTTTTTATAATAACCTTTATTTTATATGAAAAATCCAAAAATTGAAAAATTTTAAGTTGGAAATCGCATATGTATTCAAAATTGAATAAACGAAAAATTATAATTTTGTTTTTTTTATTTTTCAATGTTTCAGTTTCATAATTTTTCGAGTTTGGACTCTAATTTTTCCAATTTTAGATATTTTAGATATAGAGTATTTGATTTTTCGTTTTTTCAATTTTTCAGATTTTTGATTTCTATTTTTCATTTTTCCGTTTTTTTAATTTTAATTTTTTCAATATTAGGTATATCACCATTTTTCATTTCCATTATTTTTCAGTTGTTCGAGTTTTTAAAACTTTTCAATTTTTGGTTTCTCAGTTATCCGATTTTCCGATTTCCTTAATTTCCAGTGTTTTACTTTTACAATACACTTTTCTTTTCGGTTTTGCACTTTTCGATTTTTAACTTCCTCAATTTTTAATCCTTCGATGTTTGAATTTTTCATTTCTTTAATTTTTCAAGTTCTTGATTTCCAATTTTTAGAGTTTTGAAAGATTTTCTATTTATTTTTGATTTTTCTGTTCTATAATTTTCCATTTTTTCCATTTTTGTGATGTGAAAAGTTTAAAAATCGAAAAATTGTAACTCCAAGAACTGACGAAACGAAAAATGGAAACATTGAAAAACTAAAAATTGAGAAACTTAAAAATCAAAAAAATAATTCATCCAAAAACTGAAAAAAAAACGAAAACTGGAAACCCCAAAAATTGTAAAATTGAAAAATATAAAAAAATCGTAAAAATGTGAAAAATTGAAAAATTGTATAATAACTTATTACATATTTAAAATGAAAACTAGAAAAATTGCAAATCAAAAATTGAAAAATCGGAAGATTAAAAATTGAGAAATTAAAAAATTTGTATTGTAAAATCGAAATCATGAAAAATTGAGTAAGTGAAAAATTATAAAGTCGAGAAAATAAAATTTAAAAGATTATGAGAATAAAAAATAAAAATCAAGAACTTGAAAAAAAAAATGAAGAAACGAAAAACTGTAAATTGAAAAACCAACAATGAAAAATTGTAAAACTTGAAGTCGAGAAATTGAAAAATTTAAAAATCGAAAAACTGGAAAATCAACAAATCGAGAAATCGGAACTCGAAAATTAAAAAAATTGTAAAATTGAAAAATCAGATAATTCAAAAATCGAAATATCGAAAAATGGAAAACCCGAAAAGTAAAAAATGGAAAAACCAAGAACGGCTCACCCAATTTTCCTGAAAATTTCATAAATTTGGATCATTTTTTAAAGAAAATCTGAACGTGTTCGCTGCGCTCGTTTTTTTTTTTTATAGTTTAATTTCAGAACTATTCAAGAAAAAATCTTGGGGAACTTGTTTGGGTTGTATTATAAAAATAAATCTTTAAGAAAGAAAAATTCTCTCCGAATAATTTTGAATATCTAAATATGCTCACTACACTCGCCTTCTGAATGCTCTTTTTTTAATTAATTTAATGTCAACAAAAAAATTAATAATAAAGTCAGCAAGGCTACTTAGCTTTTATTAAAATAATTCTCACGATCTCCCTATGGAAGTAAATTATTCTGAAAATCAACCTCTAAAAGGCGAGCGCAGCGAGCATGTTTGGAATGTTTCATATTCAAACAACGTTTAAACACATATTTTTAAATAACAACAAAATTGTTATTAATAATTTAGCTTCTCAGGGGTACCTTTAAATATTTTTTTAAATTGCATCGGAACGTGCTCGCTGCGCTCGCATTTTAACCCTTTTTTTTGGCTTCATTCTCACTTTTAGCAGATAATTATAAACCTTTTTAGGATTCCCTGTTTTAGGCAATGCAAAATTTTCCTATTAATAATTTAGCTTCTCAGGGACACTGACGAGTAATTTTTAATAAGACCTAAACGTATTCAAATGTACCTACATACTTTTAAAAATATAATTTTTTTGTGTAATCAAGAAATTTTATTTTTAGCGAAAAATAGCCGTGTATAAATATTTTTTTAAAATGGAGGTGAAAAATCGATTAAGACTTAAATTTTTGGGAGGATTATTAAATTTCATTTCAACGTCGCCGCCTCCTCAGGAACCGAAGCAGCCCGTCTAGTGAGGAGCCGCCGCCAAGGAGGCCAAAGGACTCCCTTGACCGGATTGTATTTTTTTTCTTTGTTTTGCGTTTTATCCGAAAGACTGTGTTTTTCCGTCTAGATTACCCAAAGTTTTTTTTGCTTTCCTTAGAACCACCTCTTAAAAATTTCCTCGATTGAAAATAAAAGAAATTTCATAGTATTTTCCGCTGAAAATGAAATTGCCAATAAAACTTCCTTACTTACACAACAATATATTATTCGATCAAGCGTTGCGCGAACCGCTAAACAATGAAGTAACAAACCGTCCAAAAATAGCCGCCCTGTTTCAGCCAATACAAACCCATCACTATTTACCCAATCCCGAAAACTATCAATTACGACTTTCATTATTCATGGTAGCGCAAAGCTCCGTCCTACAAATCAAAACAGACAACCGTAATAATTAAAGCAGCGAAATATTTCATTTTTGCCATTTTTTATCGTTGCCAATGTTTTAGATACTTAAAATTTTGGAGCGGCTCCAAAAAAAGGAACGTGTCGAGTGTGTGTGCGAATGCCGCTTTGTTTTTTTGGCTACGGTTTTAATGCTTTTTTCGCAGATGTTTAATTACAAATTTTACGCATTTAAGTACGTCTAGTGGCTGCAGAAATAGCACTTAACATTCTCAATCTAAATAAAGGCGCTGAGTGATGAAAGCTGGAAGGTATAAATTTAGAGAAGTATGCTTCGTACATTGTAATGGGCAATGACGAAACACTTGTCACAACGTCGAATTTTTTGGGTTTTTTTTAATTTTAAGTGGGAGTATTGTGGTGGCTCCTAGATGTTGGAAAGTAGGTCCGCCGGTAAAGTTTTAATTCACTCTATGAGAGAGTGAGTTCTTAAGCGGTGTGGATTGTTATTTAATATCGCTAACTCTGGATTTTTGAAAGCAGTTAAAGATAATAAAACGCCCCCAACAAAGTTATCTTAGTAGAACTTTAGATGTATTAAGTTGGAGTTTATGTAGCACAGCTGATACAGTGCGTTGTATCACCCGAGGCTCCAGTGAATGTGTTCACAAACCGTACAGCCCTTGACTTGAATACTTAATAACGGAGGACCTCGCTCTCAATTTCTACAGACAAACTCCGCCAATATTCATCAAGACTCTTTGAAAACATTAAATTAATTAATAGTTTTGTTATCGATAATTTGGGTCCTGTCGGGCAAAATAGTTCCCCGAATCTCGGAGTCTCAAAATTCAATTAAGCCCATTACGCTGGGTGATTAAATTTTGCCCGAACAATGTACCTTTAGTTAGTGTAAATTAAACAATCAATTGGATGCCAATCCACGTCAGGGTGTTCGCTTAAAAGGAAAAATTTACGGCCGCCCTAAAGGTTAAGATTTTATCTGGAATGCAATTTATGCGCGTTTTTGCAGATTTTATGGTGACATAAATTCTAACTTCCAGAAGCGAAATTTGTGTCCTCGGGGGTAGTATTTATATAAATATGTATATCGGGGTAGATTGTTTACGTCAACAAAAATATTTATCTTCATTGTGAGTTTCTGCTGAGTTTTATGTTATGCGAGCGGGTTTTAAAAAATTTAGCAATTCTCACGAGCTAGAACCCACATAAAACGAATCGATCAAAAGTTTTATCGAGTTTAAGTACACTTCCAGAGACGATCAGGTTGTTTCGTTCTTCATTAAACTTTTATAATATACCAACGGCAAGGGAAAAAATGGGCTCGAATTGTGCCAGGGCTTACCTTAAGTGATTAGCGGTTGCGAAGTGTGGGTCGATTAGTGAAGAGAATCAGCAGGCAATCTGCAACAAAAACACAATCTTAATTTCACATCTCATCAAAAATACAAAAAAATTATGGGGTTTCTTCCCTCTGAAGTATTAGTTTTTATCACGTCTTGGTTAAAAATGTGGCGGTCAAGCCACGAGATTTATTTCTACATCGATGTTCCGTGATCACGGAAATGGAAGAGAAGCAGGGATTGAAAAGCTTATAACGGTTAGAAGCACGGCGAACATTTTTGTCGATGTCTGGCGTTTTGATAATTATTTTCAGATAAGGGGAGGAGTTGTAGGTGTTTTGTATAGCGCTTTTAATATTAATGAAATTTGATGGAATTCGGTTTTTTGCTGTTGTGAGCCCGGGAAAGCGTAGATACGAGGTGGGTTATATTAAAAACGAGGTGGGTTATTTTAGGTGGATCGATATTTTTGAGTTACTGATGAGACAATTGAAAATTCCAGACAAATTATGCTAGGTAAACGTCCCCCGTCATGTGTCACGACAAACTAATCTTTCCTTCGGGAACTGAAGAAATATTCCAGGAATGGACTGGCACGTGTTTGCTTATCGCACGATTGCCGTCGACGAACTACTTCCACTGAATTTCCACAAAGGAGACGGTTCTGTAACTGGTTTTTGAACAATATTGACAATGATTTAGTGGATAGAACTTCATTTCGGAGGACACTTGGTTGTAGTCATCATTTTATTTACTTTAGGACAAATTTTAATAAATACTAAATTATTGGTTTATAAATAATTGAAATCTGAGTAAATATTAAAAGGTTCGCACTGCGATTTAAAATTGCAGTGTAAATATTTGTTATTTATTTAATGATAACTGCTAATTTGTATATATTTTTATAGAGATTGCAGTTTAAGTAAATAAAGTTTAAACCATGTTCTGAGTGTAGATATCACTTCAACACAATCCACGAAAAAAAATTCTTTAGATCGTCTAATTAAATTTAAATTAATAGAACATTGATATTTAACTTCGCTGTTAGTGATACCGGAAACGCAGTCAACCGAATTCTTAACATTTTCATGTTTATTCAACAATTAAGTGATTAAATTTCCTCAACTGTTTTCTAGGATCTTCCCTACGAAGTTAATATTCGAAATTTTCTCTAAGGAATTTTCAATGTGTACCCATTTCTATAATAAAATTATTAACTTCAGTATGCCATCAAAAGAGCAAACATAACTTCAAAGATAAACTTGTTTCATTTTGTGAATATACAAAAGAGACTAACAGCTAACAGCCTTCAAGATTTGTTGAAACTGTTTCGAAAATAAAACACTAAGGGTCTTCAAGATTTTTTCAAGCCCTTTTAAAAACAAAACACTAAAGAAGCTCGCCGAGCTTATTTCAAATTCTGTAAGATAATAAAACAAGAAGTGTCGAAAATTCCTCCATATTGTAAAAAAATAATCGGGGCTACCGAGATTCTTTTAAACACTTTCGAAAACAAAGCACCAAGGGAACTCCGCGAGCTTTTTTCAAAATTCTGTAAGGAAATAAAACACAAAGGATCTTAAAGATTATTTCAAACTGTTTCAAAAAGGAAACACCGACGGGAGATATCAGAGATTTTTTAATTCTAAAAAATAAAACACAAAGGGGCCGAAGATTCATTCATATTCTAAAAAAAACTAATGGAGTCTCGAAAGATTCTTTCATGTTTTCTCAAAAATAGAACACAAAGGACTCAAAAATTCTTTCATTTTTTTCAAAAACAAAAAAAATGGGGATATATAAGGTTTTTTTTAATTCTGTAAACAATAAAACACAAGAGGTGAAGTTTCGATTAATTTTTTTCAAAAACAAAAAAACAAGAATCCCCAGACTTTCAAACTCATTTAAAAACAAAACACAAGAGGCCTTCGTCCTTCGTCCTCTGTCTTTTTCGTCCTTCGTCCTTTTCGTCCTTCGTCCTTCGTTTTTCGTCCTTTTCGTCCTTTTCGTTCTTTTCGTCGTTCTTCGTCCTTTTCATCCTTCTCGTCTTTTTCGTCCTTTTCGTCCTTCGTCTCTCGTTTTGAAACTGAGAAATCGAAAAATTCTAAAACTGAAAAATTTAGAATTCGAAAAATTCTAAAAATGAAAAATTGAGAAATCGAAAACTTCCAAAGCTGAAAAATTACAAATCAAAAATTAAAGAAACGAAAACTGCCAAAATTATTTCATCCTTCGTCCTTCGTTCTTTTCGTTCTTTTCGTCCTTTGTCCTTCGTCCTTCGTTCTTCGTCCTTTTCGTCCTTTTCGTTTTTCATCCTTCGTCCTTTTCGTCCTTCGTCTTTTTCATCCTTCGTCCTTCGTCCTTCGTTCTTCGTCCTTCGTTCTTTTCGTCCTTTGTCCTTCGTCCTTCGTCCTTCGTCATTTTCGTCCTTTTCGTTTTTCGTCCTTCGTCCTTTTTGTTCTTCGTCCTTGGTCATTTTCGTTTTTCGTCCTTCGTCCTTTTCGTCTTTCGTCCTTTGTCCTTCGTCCTTTTCGTCTTTCGTCCTTTTCGTCCTTCGTCTTTCGTCTTTCGTCCTTTTCGTCCTTCGTCTTTCGTCTTTCGTCCTTCGTCCTTAGTTCTTCATCCTTAGTCCTTAGTCCTTCGCACCTAGTCCTTCGTCCCTAGTCCTTCGTCCTTAGTCCTTCGTCCTTAGTTCTCCGATTTTTCGTCCTTCGCCCTTTTAGTCCTTCGTCCTTCATTTTGCGTTCTTTTCGTTCTTTTCGTCGTCCTTCGTCCTTTTCATCCTTCTCGTCTTCTTCGTCCTTTTCGTCCTTCGTCCTTCGTCTATCGTTTTGAAATTGAGAAATCGAAAAACTCTAAAACTGAAAAATTTAGAATTCGAAAAATTCTAAAAAAGAAAAATTGAGAAATCGAAAACTTCCAAAACTAAAAAATTACAAATCAAAAAATTAAAGAAACAAAAACTGCCAAAATTATTTCATCTTTCGTCCTTGGTCCTTCGTCCTTCGTCTTTATCATCATTCGTCCTTCGTTCTTCGTCCTTTTCGTCCTTCGTCTTTCGCCCTTTTCGTCCTTTTCGTTTTTCGTCCTTCGTCCTTTTCGTCCTTCGTCTTTTTCATCCTTCGTCCTTCGTTCTTCGTCCTTGGTTCTTTTCGTTCTTTTCGTCCTTCGTTCTTCGTCCTTTTCCTTTTTCGTTCTTCGTCCCTCGTCTTTCGTCCATTGTCCTTCGACCTTTTCGTCTTTCGTCCTTTTCGTCCTTGCTCTTTCGTTCTTCGTCCTTTTCGTCCTTCGTCTTTGGCCCTTTTCGTCCTTTTCGTTTTTCGTCCTTCGTCCTTTTCGTCCTTCGTCTTTTTCATCCTTCGTCCTTCGTTCTTCGTCCTTCGTTCTTTTCATTCTTTTCGTCCTTTGTCCTTCGTCCTTCGTTCTTCGTCCTTTTCGTCCTTCGTCCTTTACGTCCTTTTCATTTTTCGTCGTTCATCATTTTCATCCTTTTGTTTTTCGTCCTTGGTCATTTTCGTTTTTCGTCCTTCGTCCCTCGTCTTTCGTCCATTGTCCTTCGTCCTTTTCGTCTTTCGTCCTTTTCGTCCTTGGTCTTTCGTCTTTCGTCCTTCGTCATTAGTCCTTCGTCCTTCGTCCTTAGTCCTTGGTCCTTCGTGCCTAGTCCTTCGTCCTTCGTCCTTAGTCCTTCGTCCTTAGTCCTTCGTCCTTAGTCCTTCGTCCTTAGTGCTTCGTCCTTAGTCCTTCGTCCTTAGTCCTTCGTCCTTAGTCCTTCGTGGTTAGTCCTTCGTCCTTCGCATTTGTCCTTTTCGTCCTTCGTCTCTTTCGTTCTTCGTCCTTGGTCGTTTTCGTCCTTCGTCCTTCATCCTTCGTCCTTCGTCCTTCATCCTTAGACCTTCGTCCTTCGGCCTTTTCGTCCTTTTTGTTCTTCGTCCTTCGTCCTTTTCGTTCTTCGTCCTTTATCCTTCGTCCTTCGTCCTCCGTCATTTTCGTCCTCTTCGTCCTTTTCGTCCTTCGCGCATCCTCGTCCTTCGTCCTTCGTCTTTCTTCCTTCGTCCTTCCTCCATTGTCCTCGTTCAAACTCATTCAAAAACAAAACACAAGAGGCCTCAAAGACTCCTTCACATTCTTAAGGAAAAGATACTAGTGATTTCCCAAAACTTTTAGTTAAATGATTTTGGTATTCTTTCAAAACAAAACACAAAAGACCTCAAAACTCTTTTAGGCTTTTTCAGGAACAAATCACCAAGGCTCTGAGATTTTTTTTAAATTATGTGAAAAATGGGTCTCAAAAATTCTTTCATATTCTTACAGAAAAAATACTAGTGGCTTACAAAATTCTTTCAAATTCTTTCAAGATCAAAACATCATGGGGTTCTATGAGATTTTTTCAAAAATAAAACACAGGGGGGCAAAAGATCCTTTAAAATTCTTTCAAGAAGAAAACGCCAATGATTTCTATGAGTTTTAAAATAAAACATAAGGAGCTCTAAAATGTTTAGGAGCTCTCAAATTTTTTTTTCAAGCTCTTATAAAAACAAATCAAAACGAGTTTCAAATACAAATTAAAACACAATTTTTTTTTCTAGAATACCTATATCCATTCAATAAGTTGATTAATTAACTTTGCACAGTAAAAGAGCAGCGAAAATATAAAAAATCGTAAAATCGAGAAAGTTTAATTTTGAAACATTTAAAAAATTAAAAATCAAAGAAGCGAGAAGTCAAAAAATCAATAATTTGATAAGTCGAAAAATTGGAGAATTGAAACATCGTAAAATTAAAATATTGGAAATCGAAAAATAAAAAAATCGAGAAATCGAAAATTTGAAATTTTAGAATTTGAATCGAAAAATTAAAAAATCTCAGAATTGGAATAATCAATAAATTGGAAAATCGAAACACTGAAGAATCATAAATTTTTCAGAGCGAAAGATTCAAAAATCGTAAAATCGAAATCCGATAAGTCGAAAAACTACAAGTTCAAACGAAAAATCTAAAATTTAAACAATTGGGAAATCAATAAACCGAAATGTCTAAAATTTAGAAAATCAAAAAATGAAA